TTTTGCAAACAGCTCCTTGGGGAGGCTTGGAATATCCCAGCCTGCAGCAACTGTCTCCTGATCACAAAAGCATCGCGTGGTGAAAACTAGGAAATGAAACCAACGAGACTAGTTTTGCTACCTGCGTGAAATGCAAAAGAACAAAAACAAAAAATCCTCCATAAACAAACAGTATCAGCAGTGAGAATGAAATCAGATTTTTAAAACTGCAGAATTGTTATGCTCAAGCATTCAAGAATCAGGAGTCCAGCCCCATAAAAATCACAATATTGGCTTAAAAATGAGATAATAATATAGCTTGGGTATTTGCTTTCTGGTTTTGGAGCCTTTAAGTCACACACAGGTCATTAATGGCTATTAGCCAGGATGGGTAAGGAATGGTGTCTCTAGCCTCTGTTTGTCAGAGGGTGGAGATGGATGGCAGGAGAGAGATCACTTGATCATTACCAGTTAGGTTCACTCCCTCTGGGGCACCTGGCATTGGCCACTGTCAGCAGACAGGATACTGGGCTGGATGGAGCTTTAGTCTCACCCAGTATGGTCATTCTAATGTTCATGCTTTCAAACTTTTCTCTGCAACCGTGAAGGTCAGAAACTTTTTAAAAATAAAAGCCAAGATTTTTCTACATTCACATGACTCCGGGAGCTGGCAATTTAAGAAAAGCTCCAAACATCATGAGACTCGCGATAAAATTAAATTAAAATTAGATCGCAAGAGTTGGCAAAGTGGACGTGGGGCAAATGTAATCCTTGTTACAACTGAGCAGCCTCACTGAAACCAACGTGGTGCAAGGTTTCGATCCCAAAACAATCAAAGTGAATACAAAGACTCTCATTGGCATCCACAGGCTTTGGATCAGACTAAAATCATGTTCCTTGGGTTTCCGGGGTTATTAGTCAGCTGAAATATTTGTTATGTTATTAGGTGAATGAAATATTTCAATTTTTGCTGAGCTTTTTGCCCCCAAAAGCTTCACAATTTCTCATAAAAACCTGTCCTCATTTCCCAACTGGTTGTGGTTATTAGCCATTCAGGCAGGGAATTTTTAACCAAAGAGACCTCGTTCTGACCTCACTTCTGCTGGTATGGAACCAGGGTGTCAGTGAACTTCCTCCAGATTTGTACTTATAGCTGAGATCACCATCCGGACTGGACATTCACAATTTTTATTTTGACACTGTCCCCTTCAGCGGATTTTTATTTTGGTCTCCTGTTTGTAAAGCGTCCTTCCCCGCTCTGGTCTCTGAAAAATCCATTGTGCCATTAAACAGGCACAATGGCCTCTTTGGATCTGACCTATATCTGCACTGATTCTCTGTAATTAATGGCCAGCATGACAGAGAGGGAGTAATTTACTGCATTCTGGCTGCTGGGATACCTCTTCTAGCAAGGCTTCTTTGCTGCTGGCTTTTTCTTTCTGCTCTTTGGCAGCTGAATGAACAAGAAGGAGGTTAGTGGGAGAGGGTAAAAGTCTCTCGTTTTTCCTTCTAACTCATCGGAGTCTCCTAAGATATATGACTGCAAAGCCAGCACTCCAGATCTGGTTGCTGCCGTGATTCAATATCCACTGGAAGGCTAAATAGCAGTCCGACTCCTTCCCAACTAGCCAGCCAATGCCACCTACCAAATAACAATAAATATCTGATACCACGTGCGCACTGCTATGTACAGGAGACAAATCCCAGATCACAGCGGTCTGAAAACAGCCATGTGAGGGAATCCATACCTTCCTCCCCAGAAATCAGTGCTATCTAGGCCATTAGCCAATCACATTGCATACATGCTTAAGTGTACTCTGATTGGTGACAGAGTTCTAAGGAGTCTGAAAGTGACCGCCCCAATCCCCGAGACCTCTTAAAGGGTCATCTAGTCTGACCCCCCTGCCAAAATGCAGGATTTGTTGTGTCTAACCCATCCAAGGCAGATGGCTGTCCAGCCTCCTTTAGAAAGCCCCCAGTGGAGGAGCTTTCACAGCCTCCCGAGGCATCAGTTCCATCGTCCTACTGTTCTTACAGCCAGGAAGATTTTCCTGAGATTTAATCTAAATCTGCTGTGCTGTCGTTTGAACCCCTGGCCTCTTGCCCTGCCCTCTCTGGCAAGAGAGAACAACTTTTCTCCATCTTTTTTATGGCAGCCTTTCAACTATTTGAAGACCGCGCTCATGTCCCCGCTTAATCTCCGAATTGCGAAGGGGAAACGGTTGCACTTTTTGCAATAGGCGAGACTTCCCACTGCTTCTAACGAGGACCTTGAGCACGTATGTAACAATGCACAGACTGGGTTCACTTCTGCTCTCGGTCACATCCCATTGAAACTGCAGGGTGGATTGGTGCTCGCTGTGAAATGCGGAGTCCAATTTGTCTGCGGATGGTGGTGCAGCCATGCAAGAAGCAGCTGTGACTGGCCTCCTTGGGGGCGTCCCCTTTGTCATCCGTGGAGGGGAAGGGAAAGGCAGAGCCCAGGTGGTGAGGGGACAGGCGTTCGGCTCTGATCAATTTCAGGAACACAGATCAGCTGAGACGGTATAAACCCACTTTGCCCCTGAGACTGAGAAAGCAAAATGGGTCTAGACGGATGCGAGACATAGACTCTTAGGAGCTACGAGCTAGAGATGGGAAAGGCCCAGCTAATGTACCCCTCCCTCCCGCAGCCAACATTAGGATCATCCCTCCACTGTATATCGTCATGGAGCTTTGTCCATGGCACCAAGTGCTCCTTGCCCCTCAGCCCTGAGTTTGTGTGTCTAGCTGGGAAGCTTTCGGCAGCCTCCAGCAACATGAAAAGCACAAATGCCATTAGGGAGAGAGCTGGGGGAGTGAATCCATCTGTGTCGAGGCATACCACCCCGGGGGCAGCATTACAGTGTCACAGGTTCCTGACGAATTCAATTTCCCTCCTTTCCCCCTCCCAGTCTCGATTGGATTTTCACTTTAAATAATGTCGTCTCCTAATTGCCGCTGATGGCTGCTCGAGGGTTCTGGGCGCGTGGCTGTCGGCCTCTCCCCACAAGGACAAAGCAAGTGCGTTCTGAAATCCCCTCTGCATGAGGAGAAAATTACAGGGGGAAAACCAAACTGCTTGGCCTTTGAACCGGGAGGGAAATTAGCACTTAAGAAACGGAGGGGACGAACTAACAGTACTGGCTGGAGATGGCCAGTGTTAGCAAGGCCAGATGTCATACAACCGTCTCCACTGCAGCTCAGTCCTGACCCATCGCCCCTGGCTCTTCCAACCCCAGACGCCCTACATCCAGCTCTGCCGATGCCCCTCCATGATCCCAATCCGTCACCGGCTGCTATTCCAAACCCCGGCTCATTTTGGTGCGGGGAGGGAGTCATACATCAACAATACCTCAGGGGAGGGGAAGTTTGGATGAGTTTCCCACATAGCCGAATGGGAGTCCAAACTGCAACTCCTCCGAGGCACCGGGGCAGCATTTTGAAATTTCCTGCAGAAACTTTTTGGGAAAATCCCATTTACTTGAACTCCCTGATTTCCAGCCAAAAACAGATTAGATGAAAAATTTCCCACCGGCCCTAGCTGCCAGCACACCATAGTCAGAAGGTCAAGGCTGCTGGACGGGTTGCGGGAGGCTTTAAAGTGACAGAGGAGGAGGACGGCTCTGGAAAAAAACCTCAGGACTTAGAAAGGGATGCAGAGCCAACAGAGTCCCTGGTGCCCCGCTCTGCAGCCCAGCTATGGAGCTGTGACTCTGCCCCGGATGCACGGACAGTGACTTCGCTCCACACGGCGTGGGGAGAGGACGGGAAAAGTGCCTCTGTCAGCAGCTCCTGGACGGAGGGAGCTTGGAATGCTGAGCTGTGTGTGTCGGATGCTCTCCCGTGTGGGAACGGGGAGCTCAAGCCCGTTGTATTTCCTGGCAACACCCAGCCGGCTGGATGCGCCTGAAGAAGTTGAGCTGCCCCTCCTACATAATCCTTCACTCCCCTCCACCCTATTCCCCGCCAAAGCCCCCCACCGCTGTGCACAGCTCTCCCCCTGACACCCGGCCCCAGTTACAGCAGAGCGGGAGACACTCCAGGACTGGAGAAGCCAAAATAGCACGAGGTGTCTTCAGGGCTTCAACATGAACTCGCTGCTAGCAGGAGTACGAATCCGGCGGTCCTCGCTCAGGCAACATGCCCAGTGATTGCCACAGGGGCTTTGCTTGACAAAGGTCTGAGTCAAGAGCTCAGGATTTAGCCCCACTTATAAGAATAGCTTATATTTACTACCTCTTATGAGAGAATCTCAAAGCTCTACGTACAAACCACACGGTGAGGTAAGGATGGACCAGTTCTCCGTTTCACAGACGGAAAATCAGGGAGATTAGATGACTTGCCCGAGGTCACACAAATAAAATCAGTGGCAGGGCCAGGAATAGAGTCCAGGAGTCCTGGTGCCTCACCCCCACTTTAACCGCTAGATCACACTGCCTCCCCAAATCAGGCCTAGCACTTCAGCATCCTGACTCAAAGGCACCTGCTCAAACCACGCTACCTCAGACCCCAGACGAATGCTCCAGAATCGTGTGTTCTGTGCGGTCTGAGGCCTGTGCCGTGAACCTGGGGTTCACCATGGGTCCCTTTCCAGGTGGCTGTTTCTCCGAGCAGGAGCCAGCTAGTCCACATGCAAAGGGAACTGGGTCTCCTGTGCGTGATAGTCCCATCAGCCCTGAAGAACATGGCTTCTTCCAGCTGATCTGCATGGCACTCACAAGTGGGGCTACAAATGTCCGTGACATCGCAGAGACAGGCCAGGGAAGGGGCACACAGGGAGACCAGGGTGGGGTGAAGGGTGTACGGAAGTGAGTTGTTAGTGCAAAGCCAACGAGCACCTTCATTTGCCTCCAACCTCTTGGTGTAGCTGTTGGCACCCTGCTACTTTCTTCTCGGGACCAGCTCCCACCTACCCTGTGCACTCTTTTCTGCACCCACCAGTGGCCTCCCGCTCCCCTCACCTCCGGGGGGGTGCCCTCCATATACTCCTTCGCCATTACCTCTGGATGGTTTCTTCCAGCTCCTTGGTCTTCACTTCGTCTTCCTGCATCTGCTTCTTCATGGCCTCGTCTTCCTCGGAGGCGGACGACGGGGCTCCTTCCAGCAGCCACCTCTCCCTCAGAGCCTTGGACTACGTAGGGTTGGGAAGGGAATACAGAGAGACCGGTTACTTTCCTCCCACCTCATCCTCTGCACTAGGGACACTGGTGTGAGCACCTGGGGTACAATCCTGTGCCACCAACATATCAGGGAGGAGGCTGAGCACTGGGGTCTCCCCTAATGGGCCTCCTGGAGCGGTACCATGACACCTCCTACCGGAGGAGCCGCTGGGTGCGGGTGGTGTTCCCAGGAACACACATTAGCAAGGGGATGATGGCCCTGCAGAACATTAGCAAGGACATCACTCTGCATCATGGGGCTGAATCTATCTATCTATACTGCTGTCCATCATCATCGCATCTGAGCGTGAATCCTCAGGTGTCTTCATCAAGCTTAAGGCCAGAAGGGACCATTAGAACAGCTAGTCTGACCTCCTGTGTCCCGCAGGCCAGGGAATTTCACCCAGTCACTCCCGTATTGAGCCCAATCATGTTGGCTAAAGCCACTTCCAAGAAGGCATCTAATCTTGATCTGAAGACATCCAGAGATGGCGAATTCACCACTTCCCTCTCACTCGGGTCAAACTCCCAGAGGATGCTTCATTCAGGGTCTGGCTCCATTAACTCCTTCCCTCCCACCTAGGAAAACCAAACCACCCACTCGAGCTGGCGAACATTTTTTCATCCAAAAGCACTTTGCCAGGGATGAAGGAATTGCTCCTTTAGCCCAAGCAGTAGCAGCAAAGGTTTTGGGTCCTCGTGGTTGCAGATTCAAGTCCCACCCGTGACCATGCTGTCTCTGTACACAGCCATGGCCTGCTACGCTGGTGTGGTTTCAAACCTTGTGCAGTCTGGGGCTCATCAGAAAAGCGATTAGCCCTCCCAGCCCATGTCAGAGGTCCTCAGGCACAGCCTAGCAGTCCCGGGGAGGAGCGAGGGACGTTCTTTGTGCTGGGGAAATGCTGCTTTCCCCTCTCCAGAGACACACTCAGAGCCAGGCCCTGGCCTAGCCATGCTGTTCAGATCAGGCCTTCGGGGAAACCCAGAGCCCAGTGGGTTTGTCTCTAGGTGATCGCAGCTGTTTCTAGCAAGGGGGATGTCTCGTGCCACGGCACGTTTCTGAGGGCGAGTGAGTCATTAGGGTCAGCCCCCAGACTTTGCCACCTGGCTCAAGTGAGCAGGGGATGGCTGCTCTCCAAGCTGCTCGTTCCGCTATGGAAACTTTTCAGAGGAAGCCCTTCAAAGCGGCATGTCCGCATCCCCGATCTTTCCCTGCTACCCCCGATCTGTAAAGCTCCAGGAATACAGCTTCTCATGGCCTCTTCCCAGACGTGGCAATATTAATTGCTCACCCTCCAGTCCAGCGAGTCTCAAACTTTAGCAACCCGAGGACCCCCATTTTCATTTAAAAATTTTTGGGGACCCCCCAAGCCACCCCACTCAGCCCTTGCCCTGCCCCCTCCCCTGAGGCCACGCCCCCTCACTCACTTTCACCAGGCTGGGGCAGGGGGTGGGGGGGCAGGAGGGGGGGCAGGCTCTGGGCTGGGAGTTTGGGTGCTGGAGGAGGCTCAGGGCTAGAACAGGAGGGTGAGGTGCAGGAGGGGGTGAGGGCTCTGGGAGGCAGTTTGGGTGCAGGCTCTGGGCTGGGGCAGGGGGTTGGGGTATGGGATGGGTGAGGGGGGGCAGCATTTACCTTGGGCGGCTCCCGAAAGTGACCGGCACATCCCTCTGGCAGCGGCTCCTAGACGGGGGTCCAGGGGGTCTCCAGGTGCTGCCCCTGCCTGCAGGCACCACCCCCGCAGCTCCCATTGGCTACATTTCCCAGCCAATAGGAGCTGCGGAGTTGGTGTTTGGGCTGAGGGCAGCGCACGGAGAGCCCCTGCTCCCGCCCTGGGCCGCAGGGACGTGCTGGCCGCTTCCAGGAGTGGCGCGGACCCAGAGTTCCCCGTTCCTCCCCCTCCCTCCCAGCACCTCCTTCACGCCAGGGAACTACTGTTCCCCGGGGTGAAGGAGGCGCTGGAAGGGATGGGAGAGGAGTTGATCAGCGGGACCCGCGGACCCCCTGGAATACCCTCAGGGAGCCCAGTTTGAGAAACGCTGCCCGAGTCCATCATACCTGCTCCTGGAAGGTGACCATGCAATGAAACACTGAACTGAATACCTGGGTGCAGAGGGGAAGGTGGAGAAAGGATAAAGCACATTTGAAGGGTCGCACAGTTTGGGGGGAATGGTTCCCCCACCCCACTAACCATGTGAAAAGTGTCCATCACTGTGCTCTACCGAGCACCTCACAGTCTTTATTCACCGCCCAACAGCCTGGGAGGTAGGGCAGTAGCATCACACCACTTCACAGATAGCACCAGAGGCCTAGAGAAGCTCCAGGCCAGATCTGTAAACATATTTTGGTGCCTAACCCCTGAAATGAGGAGTTAGGCACCCAAATACCTTGACCAATCTGGTGCTAAGTGATTTGCCCAAGGCTGGACAGGGAGTCTGTGACAGAGCTGGGAACTGACCCCGCGTCTCGTAAGCCCCAGGCGAACCCCTGAACCCTCTTTCTCAGCGACACTGGGCTGCGGTTCTGGGCACGCTTTGGGGTTGGCTCGGGTCCCGCTCAGGTTCAGCCCTGCGGCATGGGCCCAGAGCCGCATTGCTACCTTTAGGTGCTGTAACTGGCGCCTGTCGTCCTCGAGCTGCCGCCTTTTATTTTCGATCTCGATCTGACGTTTCCTCTTCTCCTGAGAGTCGAAGGAGAAGAAGGAGAAGGGGGAAAGAAAAGGATGAATTCATGATTAATCATGTTTGTTAGGACAGCCGTGCCAGGATTTAGCTTTAAGAAGGTGGGGCGTCCCGTTGACTTCAGGGGGCCTGGCTCACCCATTTAAAGCCAGGTGTGCGCTTAAACATGGGCCCTGGGGCAGGTCTGCAGCCATTTCCCCCGTGGGTCAGTGATTCAGTCAGCCCCTCCCGGAACCTGCAAAGTCGCCGAGCTCCCAGACTAATGGGGAGTTGCCGGCGGGACTGGTTTCCCTTACCCAGTGGGCAGGTGTCGGGCCAGGTCCTTAGCAGGTGTAGATCGGTACGGCCCCATCTACGCCAATGGGAGCGAGGCTGATCTACACCCGCCAGGGATCTGGCCTGTTCTCAGAGTCAATTTTAACTAGATTGACCTTTCTCACTGACTCAGGAAATTGCTCCCTCCCGCCCCAAGTTAGTCAACTCAACAGCTGAGATTTCTCCAGTCTCAGCCCTTGCTGCGGCTCCATCACTGTGGTATGCAGGAGGCGTGGATGGGGCAGGCCAGAGAGGATTCCCCCCCCCTCAACATTCTTCTCCTTTAGGGTTTATTCCTTCCACTCCCGCCCCACTTTTTCCTCATTTTTATCTTACCCAGAAATTGTAGCTACACAATACACGACAAATACACACATACACTACACACCTACAAAAACAGCGCTTCACAACTACCCGGGCCTGGCCAGCTACGCAAACGCTCCCCACGCTCGCCACCGCCACAATGCACAACCGCTGCACTAACCGGCAATGCTTGACCACTGCCCCATCCACAACCGGTGCTCAGCGGCGACCTGCACAACGCACAGCTACGCAAAGAATGCACGACCGCTAAACAAACCACACGCCACAGCTACGCCACGCACGGCACAACCAACACCCCACAGCTACAGTTCCAACAAACCGCTGCACCACCAATGCCCGGCAGCTACCCAGCCAATGCCCCCCAGCCCGTGGCACAGAGAACGCATCCTAAATCCCATCGTTGATGCCTGGAGAAAGGGGAATTGCTGCCTGGCTCGACGGCCTGGATTTCCAAGCAGCTGTCTGGGATTGCCCCGCTGCCTGGGATTGCCCCACTGCCTGGGATTGGCGGTTGTGCCTAGATCGATTCGCTGCACTTAGCCTTTGAGCGACAGCGACGGACCTGGAGACCCTGGACAGAGGGGAGAGAGCTGGGCAGGAGCCAGGTTCATTCTAACAGCTGATATCAAGGCAGCTATTGTGTCTTACTCCATGCACTGAGACCAAACATGCCGCTTTCCCTGGCTCGAGGTTTTCCCTTTCAGATTAAGGAGGATGACAACAAAAGAACAAATATCGAGGCCCAAGCCCTCCAGCTGTGATTGGAATTCCCCATTCCCCTTCAGCTCACCCCGCACCTGCCGTGTGTTTGGTCTCGCTCCCGCTGCGACAGGCCCAGCTGGGACACCGCTAGGCCCTGCTGATCCACAGTTAGCGGCCAGCTGCTAGCAGCTCGTATAAAGTAGAACAGCCCGGAGACTGCCCTCAGCAGCTCTGAAAATCAGTTCTCGGCTGTCCCAGTTTGGGCCCTAGCGGGGAAAAAAAGGGATGGTCTAGAGAGGGACTCAGGAAAGCTGGGCTCTGCCACAGACTTCCCCTGCCCTTAGACAAGTCACTTCACTGCTTTGTGCCTCAGTTCGCCCATCTGTAAAATGGGGAGAATAATCCATTGTCTATTCAGATTGTGAGCTCTTTGGGGAGGGGACTGTCTCACACTATGTGCATGTACAGCACCTGGCACAACAGGGCCTTGGTCTCAACGAGGCTCTCTGTAAATTGTTGCCGTACTATTAGCTTTACAGCCACTAGGAGTCCCCGCTGGAAGGGGCAAGAGGGGTGGGCGAACATGCTGCAGCCCCGGGTTTCATCGGCCATCTGCAATGTATTTGCGTTATATATCGGGTTTTCGTGAAATATATTTGCCCTTCACTTACCCCCGTGTTCTCCCAGGAGAATTTTAATTTAATTACACTGGCTGAAGCACGTGTATTTCAGACTAAATGGGAGCCTGTGCTACTCAGACAATAACGTCTCTTGTTTGCAATTGATGCCTGCCCTGATTTGAAGGGAACAACATTCACACACATGCCCAGAATTCTTGTTTTCCCAGAGCCAAAGCGAACTTGGACCTCAAGTATTATTACGATGAACTATTTCTACTGCAATGAAGCCAAGAAGCCCAGCGGAGATCAGGGCCCCATTGTGCCTGGCGCTGCACAGAGCCACGCTGAGAGACAGTCCCTGTCCCAAAGAGCTTATACATGAAACAGAGACAGACAAAGGGTGGGAGGGGAAATTGAGGTACAGGCAGGGGGCATGACTCACCCAGCAGGTGAGTGGCAGAATGGACAATAGAGCCCAGGGCTCCTGACTCCCAATCTGGTGCCCTATCCACTAGATAACACTGCATTTCTATCATGCCTTCTTCACACCCCTTACTACCACAAATGAATCAAGCCTCCTAAACTGTGCAGTGAGACAGGGAAATCTCATTATCCCCCTTTTACAGCTAAGGGGAACTGAGGCCCAGACGGGGGAAGGGACTTGGCCAAGCATACACAATGAGGCAGCAGCAGAGCTGAAAATGGATCCCAGAAGTCCTGACTCATAATTCCCTGCTCTAACCACTAGATCTTACTCTCTCCACAGCTGGAAAAAGAACCCAGTCACCTCGACTCCCAATTCTGGGTCATTAAGAACATAAGAGCGGCCATACTGGGTCAGACCAAAGGGCCATCTAGCCCAGTATCCTGTCTTCCAACAGTGGCCAATGACAGGTGCCCCAGAGGGAATGAACAGAACAGGGAATCATCAAGTGATCCATCCCCTGTCACCCGTTCCCAGCTTCTGGCACACAGAGGCTAGGGACACCATCCCTGCCCATCCTGGCTCATAGCCATTGATGGACCTATCCTCCATGAACTTATCTAGTTCTTTTTGAACCTTGTTATAGTCTTGGCCTTCACAACATCCTCTGGCAAGGAGTTCCACAGGTTAACTGTGCAGTGTGTGAAGAAATACTTCCTTTTGTTTGTTTTAAACCTGCTGCCTATTAATTTCATTTGGTGACCCCTAGTTCTTGTGTTATGAGAAGGAGTAAACAACACTTCCTTGTTTACTTTCTCCACACCAGTCATGATTTTATAGACCTCTCTCATATCCCTCCTTAGTCGTCTCTTTTCCAAAAGTCCCAGTCTTATTAATCTCTCCTCATACAGAAGCCAGTCTATACCCCTAATCATTTTTGTTGCCCTTTTCTGTACATTTCCCAATTCCAATGTATCTTTTTTGAGATGGGGTGACCACATCTGCACACAGTATTCAAGATGTAAGCATACCATGGATTTACATAGAGGCAATATGATATTTTCTGTCTTATTATCTATCCCTTTCTTAATGATTCCCAAGTCTTTAACCCCAAGAGTGCTCTTCCTGCTAGAGGGTTGCTCTAATCCATCAACACTGGGACACAGAGGGCTAGACCAGTCAGAATGACCTCCCACAAGGGTGATTACTCCCAGACACAGATGGGGAGCTGAAGTAACTTGCTCGAGATCACGCAGCAGATCAGTGGGAGGGCCTGGAATAGAAACCCGATCTCCTGGGTGCTAATCTAGTGCCTCTGTCCACTAGTCCTCACTGCCTCATAGGCTGGGCCTTGCTTTTTCCAAAAGCCCCCACCTGGAAACAAGATGAGAACTGGATTTCCCCAGCCCTTGGAGAAGATCCGAGCCACCTCCAGTCCCTGCACCATTGTTGGGATCGGTCCTGATTAATTTCATCCGAGTCAGTTCAGCCACGTCCCGATCCTGGGAAGCGTCACACGTTTTCTTCCCTGGCCCAGAACAATTTGCCCTTTGTGTGGCAGCGACCGGCTCGATTGCAGGCGGGGCCTGGAAAGCTGGCAGGCAAGGCGGCCACACAAAGGTGCGGGCTGGGAGCCAACATGCGGCCGCGGGGAGAGGACCCCGCTTGGCTCCGTCTCAAAGGAGGACCAGGCAGAGACTGCACCGTCCAGCAGTTACACGCCTCCGCGCTGGTTCTCCACATCTGCATCCTCATCTACCCGGAGCTGGGGAGCTTCCATTACAAGCCACCTTATGTCTGTGGGCCTGATCCTTTGGGAGTGGAGGGCGCTTGGCGTCTTGTAGGGGGCGCTCAGCTCCTTGCTGGATGACACTTCCTGTTCTCTTGACAATAATACCCCTTTCTGCTCCCTTACACAGCCTGTTTCTCCCCGGGCTTTAGAAGTCAGGCCCCCACCAGTGAACCATGGCCCTGACTGGATGCCTCTGCACACTTGCGAAAGTCCCATAGAAACGGACACCACCATCCGCCAGATCTCCAGGCAGCTGGGAAGGAGTCAGCTAACCAGCAAGCCCCATCCGCCCTCATTGGCCAAGAGGCAGGGGAATCTCACCTCACCCACAGCCCGGCTGGCACCAGATGCGAGCGCCCTGGAAATCAGCTGCTTGGATTCAGACCCACAGGAGGAGCCCGGTTACGGCTTACTCAGCCGGCGTTTTTCTGGGTCCTAGACGGTGAGTGAGTCAGCCCCTGCCAAAACCTCCATCCGCTGAGCAGGCATGGGAATCTTGTTTGCAAGCAAGAAATCGCCCTCCTGTGGGGCCTGATCCAAAGGGCCCCAGACCCCAGAAGTCAGGAGCCTCAATACCTTTGAGGATCTGGCCCTGGGTGTCTTTCCATTGCACTGGCTGGGGAACTAGTAATAGCAACGAATAATCAGACATTCTTTTGCCTTTCATCCCAGCCTCTCGGAGGCCGTTCGTTAATTCAACCATTAAGCCCCACCACTGCCCAGACAAGTAGCTATCTTTGGGGATACCAAGGCCTGGCGATTTCCCCACACTCATGCGGGAAGCAGTGGCAGAACCTGGAAAAGAGCCCAGGAATCCTGACTCCCATTCCTCTGCTCCAAAAACCAGCCCAGCATTGTTCCAGAGCAGGTAACTGTGACACCAGCTCCTGGCGGTTTGTATTGTTTTTCTTTGCGTTAGTTATCCACAATTTCCCTGTAGTCTCAAGGATACCTTTTTTGGAAGGGTCGTGGGGAGGGGGCGGGGAACGGATTGTCAGGATTAATCTTCTGAGTCTCTTTGTGTTCTTTCTGCCCATGGTTCCCTGGGGTCTACACCTCCCCTTCCCTCCAGGGTGCTGGTCTCTGGGATGGCCGTGCTTGGCTATCAAACAGCAATGCCAGTGTGAAGAAATGGGGAAATAACTAGACCCATGAGGAGGGGCAGCGATCGGAAAGACTGGGAGCCTGCTGCTCCTGCATGTAAGGCAGAGACAGTGGGGAAGGAAGAGGGGATTAAGTTGACCTTTGCACTCCCCGTATTCCGAGCCAGTTCAGGGCCCTGTCTGGCCTCCTAGGAGAGCAGCCTCGGGGTTACTCTAATGTACGCTCCGCGTCCCATGGCCTCCGACAGTGTACTTAGATCAGAACTAACGGACCATTGCCCTGGGGTCAAAGAGAGAGCTACTCACCCTGAAGAAAGGGATCCCACTGGCATTATAAGGCTGCTGCACGAATACGTTCTATTTATCCCTCATTCCAGCCAAGTGTGACGCCCTGCATCCCAGATCTGGGCTTTGGCATATTGACATTACCACCCCCTGGTCTGGAGGGGGGCCAGCCATGTTGCCACGAAATGCTACTTGCAGCCAGACCCGCTGCTTGAGGCCCAGTGTATTTGTTGTACTATATCGAAGACGGAAGGAGATGGGACAGGACCACTTACCGCTATGGCCTGCAGCCTCTCCTGCTGAATGGCGCCAGCCTCCGTGATCCTGCAACGAGAGCAAACGAACGCAGGGAGTGTCAGAGCACAGGAGAAGAGACGAGCTGGGGAAGGGGAGACTCTCGCATGCTGGGGGTGTGTGTCTGTGAATAGAATCATTGTGGCCTGCAGCAAACCGGACACAGCACCCAGACAATGGCTGAACTTTCCCCTTCCTTTGCAGCCCTCCCTTTGTCCCTTTGTGTATCCTGTCTGTGCACTTGTTGCTAAAACAGAGCGCTCCTTGGCCCGGCAGCCTGTGAATGGGGGTCTCCCAGCGTCTCCACCGGATCCCACGCGGCCTTTTGGATTTCACGGTCACTGCGGGCTCAGTGTCCCTGAGCCGGACTTGAACCAGACAAATGGAGTTTTGTGGACAAGCTAACTCCCTGCCTGCTCCAGAGTACGGCAGACAGCGTCGCTCCAGCTGTGAGAGGAGCTGTCCGAAGGCGAGGAATCCTCCCAACTGCCAAGGTGCTGCTTCAGCACCAGTGAAAGTCAGAGGAGCTGGGGTAGGGAGGTGGGAGGGTTTGGGCGTGAAATCAATGGGGAGGGAGAAGATCCAGTTAGGAAAATAGAAACCTGCTGCACTCCCCAAATCACTGCATCCTAATTAGAAGGCAGCATACTCTAGAGGTCTGGAACTTCAGTCCTAGTCCTTGCTCAGCCGTGTGACCATGGGCATGTCACTTAGCCTGCAGCTATGTTTACACTAGCGCCCTTACAGAGGCGCACCTGTACCCATGCAGCTATGCGGCTGTAAGATCTCTCGTGCTCTATGCGGATGGGAGAGAGCTCTCCCGTTGGCATAATTAATCCACCTCCAACAAGGGGCAATAGCTATACTGGTGGGACACAGCGCTGTCCACACCAGGGCTTATGTCGGTGTGAGTGATGTTGCTCAGGGGGGAGGTTTATTCACGCCCCTGAGTGACGTAAGCTGTACTGACCTAAGCAGTAGTGTAGACATGGCCTCAGCACGGGATGAAGACATGATTTTTCAATTTGGTGGCCAAATGGAAAAATTTGAGAACAATTTTGGGGGTGGGGGGAGGGTCAAACAAAACATTTCATTTGACTCCAAACAACTGGGTTTTTTTTGCTTGTTTCATTTAGCGCGTGGGTGTTTATTTTACCCTTCTTTTGAAAGGAACGAACTAACTAACCTTCTAAACAAAAACCTGGGCGTGAAATGAAAAGTGTAAAAGGTTTGACTTTCAAAAGAAATAAAAATAAAAAAATTTGCTCAGTCAAAACTATTTGCCAGATTTGACCCGAATTTGCAGAAGGTTCCAGCGTACTGAAAATGCATTTTTTGGCAAATCAGTTATTCATCTGAAAACTTCACCCAGCTTGCCTTAGCTTCTCTGTGTCTCGGTTTTCCCACCCACATTTGTTTGTTGGCCGAAGATCACATCTCTGCACCTCCACACACACACACACAGAGCTGTGTTGGCAAACATTTGTCGTGTAGATCTGGGCTTATTCTTGTAGAACAGTGGCTTCTTTTTCCAGTTTATCTTAAACCCTTCCCAAGCAACATAATCTCACCTGAAAAAAGGTCATGTTTACCCTGGGGCAGGAGTCTACCTGGAGGATTATACTGGTACAACTAGATGGATTTATTCACACCTTAGGTTAGACCCCCCCCAAAAAAAATTTCCCTTTGTTGCCCAGGACTAAGCTATATGGGTGTAAGCACCTTTGGACTAGTGTAACTGACCACTCGAGGGGTTTGCACCAATTTAACTATACCAGGTTCAAACTGATCTAGTTAAAAAGGGTACAGATGAGCCTTGATCCCGGCAAATAATTTGGCAACAGCTAGGCCTCGTGTTTATGAGCCCATTAACTGTTATTGCAGGGCCTGTTCCCATGGCTCTTGCTGTCATATTAGGGCCAAATTGTGTAGCTCAAGTTAAAGGAGGGGAAAGAGGCCTAATGCTTAGGGCAGTAGCAGGGAACTTGGGAATCGAACCCCTGTCTGCCTAGTCTGCCATGGGCTTCCTGCATTCCTTAGCCTCTCTTGGACCCTGTTCCCTGGTGCTGCAATGGGGACCGAGCACTGTTCCCTTTGGGGGTTTGTAAGGATACATTGAGTAGGATTGTGAGGCATTCAGATACAATGGTAATATGGGCAGGGGGTGGGCTGCAGAAGGGCCTGTTGTGGGGACAGTTTCCATTCACTTCCCGAAGCTAGAAGTGCCAACGTAACATTTGCAAAGCGGCCCCTGGGAGCTTCCCAGCACTCTGGAGGTCGGTGGCAGCTCAAACAGCCTCTGGGCAGACGTGATCCAGAAGAATCTAAACTTCAGACCTACAGAGCTTCCCCTGGGGTGGGGGTGGGGGGGGGTGGAATCAAGAAGAGACCCTCGGGTGTATAAAGACACCAGTCCCAGAGCTCGGACCGTCACTCCCCCTGGACAATTCATTCCTCCTGCTGCCCTCTCTGCTGAGTGTGGCCCTGAGCCACCGTGCTGAGGGAGGGATCCGAGCGTTTCTCTCGCCGAGTCCTGGGAGCAGGCCTGTCGCTGTCTCCGAACAAGGACAACCAAGGGGAGGCAGAGAGGACACCAGGCAGGTGGCTGCGGCCTGCGTTTGCCGCAGCTCCAGAATAAGCGATGCTGCGGGCTGCGAGACCCCCGTGGCTGGCCTTGGGGTTCTGCCGGGGGCTGTGTCTCAAGACAGAGACAGGCCCAGCACACACAGCCCGGGGTTTCGGGTCAGAACCAAGTCCGAATACTCCCTACAGAAAGGTTGCTTTTGTGGCTAAGGCCCTGGAGTGGGAGGCAGGAGATCTTAGTTTCATTCCCTGCCCTGCCATGGGAACCCCAATGGGGCTCAGCTCCAGGATGGGGAAAGCCCTCTCGTCTATTCAGCTTGCAAGCTGTGGGGTGCGGGGAAGCATGCAGTGGCCCTATCTTGCTGTGCGTCTGGGCTCCATTGTGCTAGGTGCTGCACAGATTTCAGCTGGGATCTCAAACCCCCACTGTCATACACACAGCAACGGGACCTGGCATGGTGGAATGCGCCCCTTTGTGGTTCGAGGATGCCCATCCGAGGAGTGAGCCCAACCCTGCTCAGCCGTGCGCTGGGACAGTGTCGCAGCCTGGGAGCAGAGCAGCTGCAGGCTCCGTGGCGAGCAGGACAGCCTTTCTAGTGAGGACTTAGAAATCGGCGTCAAACAGCTTGAAATTGCTGCTCTGACCCACCTAAAGCTCCCCGTCGCCTCGCTGTGACTGTGATTTGCGTAAGGCTCGGGGCCCTGCTCATAAGCACTCCAGTAACACACCACTTAGCCAGCCTCCCTGGGCTCACTCTGCTGCCAAAGTCAGACACGCAGCCAGGGGCGTTGCACCTGCAGGAAGCCAGCTGGCTCCCACCCCTCCATAAACATGCCCCAGCCCAAACAGATCAACAGCAATGAAAGGTGTGTCCCTGTTCCAACTATACATAGCCCCGGCGAACACGGCCAGTCCAGGAGAAGGTGACGACACACAGACCCCAGGACTTTCTGTTGCAGCTTCTCCCATTGGTTGGTCATTGACAGGAACATACAATTGCCCCAGCTGTGCAGGTTCATTGCTCCCGTAAAAGCTGGGACAGCAGCTGGCAGGCTTTTCTGGTTGGAATTTTTATTTTTTTTGGCCCCCCCAAAAAAATGCAGATTTAGGTCAAGAAACTTTGAGTTTGCTGAATTGTGGTGGTCACGGGAGGGAAGGGAAACCCTAAAAACAAATAGACTTTAAAAAATGAAAATGTTTGGGGGCGGTTTGTTTTTGTTTTTTTTTTACTCAAAGTGACTTGGTCGAAAAATTCACTTCAATTTAAAAAAAAGAAAAAGAAAAAACTCAAACCCGAAAGGTTTTGCTTCCCCTCCGGTTTTTAACTTCTCTGTTTGCCAAAGAAAAACAAACTTTTCATCGGAGGTTGACCCAAAGTGACTGTTTTTATGTTTTTGGTCTGGCCAGTGACCCCAAAACCGAGTTCTTTGCACAGCTCCTTTGGGGAGCAGATGTTTGCTTGGCCATGGCAAAAGGTGCAGAGAAGAGACAGGGCTCAGCTCTAGGGAATATGAAGGGAATTCTTTAGTGAGGCTGCCGGACACGGACAGACTCTGGGGTTCTCTCAGGTTATGGCTACACTTCATCTGGCAGTGAGATCTCCCAGGCCGGCTCCCTCACGCACTGAAAATAGCGGCGTGGAGGTTGCCGTTCAGGGGCTCAAGCCTAACCTCAAAGCAACGTTTACGCAGATTTTTTTTTTAGCCTGCTCCCACAAGCCCCCGGACATGGGCTGGGAGGTTCACTCGCAGCGACAGTGTAGACACACCCTCCGGCCCTCGAGTTCCAGCCCGTACTGCCTCTTGTCACCACACGGGGTCACACTCGGTCCTGGACTTAGCCGTCATGGGTGGGGCTGCAGATTGCACTTTGGGGCTGGGGGAGGCATGTGGGTGGGTGCCCCATGGGCGGCAGCCACCAGAGGCTCTGTGCCCGAAGCAGGGGAGTTAGGACTGCGGCTGCTGCTGCATCTTTAACAGTAGTGGAGCCGGCTGAGGTGGCCGAGGCCCCGATGGTTTCTGCCTCCCTGTGGGAAGGAGGGGGAGAGAGTCTGGCTTTCAGACACGCCTGAAAAGCTCAGCGAGGTTTCCAAAGCGCCTCTGAATCAGGAAACACCCCCCCCCCCCCCGGCCTGGGGGTTTTCGCCAAAGGCCCAGGGCCATTCGCATTACCGGCGCGGGAGGCAGACTTGTGGCAAAGCGGCGCGGTTACGGACAGTGCCCCCAGCTCTTTAGTGCCACACAGAGCACATAGGGCTGGGAACTTTCATAGTGTTGGGGTAGGGGGAAGAAGTTCCCCAAATCCCAGAATTTAACACCCTTCCACTTTATATGACTGTGCCCCCCTCACACTGAGCTCAGGACCGCACTGCGCCGAGTAAGAGAGAGTCTCTCCCCAACAAGCTTACTCTTGAAACAGAAAAGGCAGGTGAAGGAAGGATTTTTTG